CATGAATGAGTAAACTAATATAAAGCATGAGAATGTTCAGCTCTGTTTGTAGGCAATTTGCCAACTAGTAAAAAAAAAAGGAAAAAAACAAAAAAGAATAGAAAGAAAGTAAAAATGAACAATCCAGGAAAGCTCGGGGAGGAAAAAAACAAACACAATCAAAGACGGACAAATATGTGAGGCAGTGTGGTGGAATCAGGCTCTCGTCAATTTTTGGGCATGTAAAGTTATTGGTACCATCGTAAAGCTGGTTCACTTGTTTTTATTTGGATGAATAAAGTATCCATTTATCTTGAATACAAGTCGAGATATTTACGAAAGAAGTAGGTGGGGGTCACCTGTTTTGAGAGGTAAACTTAGCGAGAAAATGGCCGCCAAAGCTTAGTAAATTCCAAAGCTGGAGAGTCCATGGAAACTGTAAATTTATACTTTTGAGCCTTTAATCAACGTTTTCAGTGAAATCCTCAAAGGAATGTGTTTGTAAATGGACATTAAAGGTGTTGAGCCAAAAAACAAAAATTTGATAAAAATTGCTAAGCAGGGAGAAAACTGCTGTTTTCTTATATTTCATTAATTTGACGAGAGCCTGATTCCACCACGCTGCCTCACACATATATATATGGGTGGCGGGGCAGGGAACAAGTAGAAGTGTCAAGACTTGATCACGGCTCACTCAAAATAAATGGACTGTACACATAACACTGTACTGATACATTTCAACATCATAAAATTTACAATGATACAAATGGATAAATAAGTAAAAAGTAAACTTGTTCCGCATCCGATCCAGACATTGGGGATTACCTTGTTAGCGAGATAATTTCCTGGGCCTTCGGCATATTGTGGTAGGGTGGCCTGTTCCTTTCCATGCCACCTTTACTTCCCCAACTCGAAGTTGGGTACCCATTATTCCTGCTGGGTGGGCAGGAGGGGGCCAAAAAAAATTCTGTGTCCGAACAGATAAATTTAAACCAACCAAATCAAAACAATATCATAATATATATAAGCTTTCATATATATACACATGCACACATTTATACAGTGATGAAAGACGTGCCTCCCAAAATTTCCCACTTACAAAAAAGTAACAACAGCAAGTCGATCAAGAAATCAGAACAGATCTTTCCAGAAAAGATTAATTATATCACAACGCGTGAGCGTCACCTTCAGTAACATGGAAAGTAAACAAATGACAAATCTTTGGGCAGAAATTTCATCTTAAAACATGATATGTATCTAAATCAAATAACATTCATTTCTCTCCCTTATACACGACACATAGAGGCTTCGCACAATAGCCATAAACTACTCACTCCGCACAAGGATATGTGAGGCGTATTGACAAAATAAGTTACTTCAGTTCTAGTAAGAGTTTTACGGCACTTGAAACACAATAAGGTCATACAAGTGCCGAAGATTAGGTGTAACAAGAGAGTAACAAACACAAAAAAGAAGGAGGAGAGATCAGGACGATAGATTTTGATAGGACAGAAGGAGCAAACCACACCAGACCACCCGCCAACCACCTTCATGAGTTACTTCTTGCAATCCACAAATGGAGATATTGGCCAAAAATCAACATTAGGGACAAATTTGTAGATTTTTTATTGATGCCATATTTTTTAAACTATAACCTGCCTTTTATAATTTCATACTTATAAATCGTAAAAGCTTCACCTATAGGCGTGATGTATCTTTTCCCTTAAGGCTTGAATCCGAAAAGGCCCTTCCAAAAAACTCAAAGAAAAGGCAAGTGACAGTTTGTTTTACTGAACGGGGAGAAAAAAAACAACAAAAAAACTATTTCAACGCTAATACGTCATATGACCCTGAAGCAGATGCAGACAGTGGTGCAGCTGTGAGGATCTTCAACACGCTCCTCACCTGTGTTGACAGAGGTCGCAAGATCTATGCTGACCGTTATTACACAACGAGGGCTCTTGTTGACCATCTGCTAACACTACACCAGCACGCTTATGCTGAACAGAAAATCTTTTCCCCCTCAGCTGAAAAACCTGAGTCTGCAACATCGACAAATGCGCTGGTTTCTCCAAGAGAATTCAGATGTCCTGTGTGTGGCTTTTCGCGACAAAAAAAAAGCCAAGAAACCAGTTGTTCTCATTTCCACCGACGCACAGGTGGATACAACACGAGTCAAAGATGTTGACAAGCCGACGGTCATCCATGACTACAACAGTCACATGAATGGCTGTGACCTTCTTGACCAGAAGGTCACATATTATCCCGTCTTCTCCCGCAAATCAGTGAAGAGGTGGAAGAAGCTGTTCTTTTGGATGATGGAGATAACTCAGGTCAATGCCTTCATTCTCTACACCCTCACAAGAACAGACGCGCAGAAGAAGATCATGTTGAAAAAGTTCAAACTGATGCTCGTTCGGCAAATTGTCGAAAGTGTTGCTAACAGCAACGACAACAACAACGATGGCAATGACAACAATGACCAGGCTAGAGCTCAAGGCAGACAACCGGAGAACCATCCAATGGAGCGCATTCAAGGAACTCGTCACATCATCTCCTACGTGAGGCGTGACAGACAACCGGAGAATCATCCAATGGAGCGCATTCAAGGTACTCGTCACATCATCTCCTACGTGAGGCGTGACAGACAACCGGAGAACAATCCAATGGAGCGCATTCAAGGTACTCATCACATCATCTCCTACGTGAGGCGTGACAGACAACCGGAGAACAATCCAATGGAGCGCATTCAAGGTACTCATCACATCATCTCCTACGTGAGGCGTGACAGACAACCGGAGAACAATCCAATGGAGCGCATTCAAGGTACTCATCACATCATCTCCTACGTGAGGCATGACAGACAACCGGAGAACAATCCAATGGAGCGCATTCAAGGTACTCATCACATCATCTCCTACGTGAGGCGTGACAGAGACTGTGTGGTGTGCTCTAAGGATGGGGCAAGAAAAAGAACTCACTTTGTCTGCCTTGGATGCAGTGGTGCACCCCATTTGCACCCTAAGGACTGTTTCCAAGCCTACCACAATGTCTAATTTGGCAATGAGACAGAACAAGATTGTATATAGTATGTAAAGATGTGAACATCTTCAGTGTGACATATTTGGTGGGGTTTTTTCATCGATATTGTGGCGTAACTGTCGTGTAGATAAATGTCAATATTTCAACAACTACATGAGCTATTGTGATGAAACTTTCCTGGATTATTGCTACATGGATTACCAACAACTTCAGCTCATCATCATGGATATTGACCAATTGGATTATAATGATACCTGATTTGGTGAGTAGAAAAACATTTAGTGTGATTTTTTTTCCTTCTTTTTTTTCTGTCTTTCTCTGTAATTCAACACACACAGTGTACAAAAATCAACACAAACCACACAGATATACATTCTACATTCAATTTCCGTTATTTTGATATATAGTTTATCATGTCTAAAGTATTTAGTAACTTCAGTATATTGACATTTGTATCACATGTATGTAAAAAAAAATGTGCTGCCCACCAGAGCTGCGTCACACTGAGATCTGGCTGGCGTATTCAAAGAGTTCAGGCGTTTGATTCAAAATCAATAGCAAAGCAAGTGGTCTAAGGGGGACAATTCTTTACACATCATTGGAAAGCTCTCCCAAAGCTCTATCATTTGGTTATTTCCCTTCAATTGTTATAGAGCATTATGTTAGCTTTGTATTGCGCTTTGTTAAAACAATAGAGGTTAGAGGCCCATTCGCACAAAATGTCCCAAGTTTCTACCTAAAATGGCGACGCCCAGGACACGTGGTTTGACCCCAACTAAGAAAGTTTTGGGAGTTGTTTATGGACGATGGTGGTAGTGATGAAGAAAAAGATCTTTTATTTGTTTTAGTAAAGGTTTCACGGCGCTCGCAGCTGCATGAGTTCATATGGGTGCCAAGGGGTGGATGTCAACGGAGAAGTCCAAACGGGAAATCAGGTTTACTTTTGTTTGTTTTAGTAGAGGTTTTTTTAGCGCTCGCAACTGTATAAGGCCATATGAGCGCCAAGGGGTGGGTGTCAACTGTATAAGGTCATATGAGCGCCAAGGGGTGGGTGTCAACTGTATAAGGCCATATGAGCGCCAAGGGGTGGGTGTCAACTGTATAAGGTCATATGAGCGCCAAGGGGTGGGTGTCAACTGCATAAGGCCATATGAGCGCCAAGGGGTGGATGTCAACAGAGAAGTCCTTACAGGGAATCAGACTTACTCTGCTCACCTCTCTAGCTTCAACAGCACAAAGTCTGCTTCGACTATCAAAGCACCCCGGAAATAGCAGTTCACAAGAGAGTGACAAGCAAACAGAAGAAGTAGAGGAAAAAAGACGATAGCAAGGATGAGGAAAGAAAAAAGCATGAGCATGCCATTGATAAATCAGCCCATTTACAATTCTACTGTGAATAAGAACTTGGCAATATCCCCTCTTTGGTAAGGGCCTAAAGACACTTCAGCCAGTAGCACTGCCCTGGGGGAGGAGGAATGATGGGGGATGGTCCCTTTGAATAGAACAGAATCTAAAGTAGAAAGAGTTCGATGTGGGGGAAAAAAAAAATGTGCAACGCCACATCATCAAGGACTGTTCTTTGTGTAAGTGACCTTGTGGAGTCAGTTTGTTCTTTTTAGATTTCCATGAATACAAGGCATTTTGCTGATTTCAATGAACTTGGAGGGAAAAAACCCAACCCTCCTCCCCACAAGTGTGTGTGTGTGTGTGCGTGTGTGAGTGTGGCGTTAATATCTTTCCCCTCTTCTTTAATACAAGTTTCACTCCATTCCACTTCTTTCCATTTCACAACACTATACCAATAGCAACTAGCTGATTTAAATAACACTCACATGCCTACATACATACACACTACAAAGTCTCGCTTGTCCCCACAAAATCTTCAACATTGAAGTTTCACACACACACATATACATATATATATATATGTATGTGTGTGTGTGTGTGTGTGAAACTTCAATGTTGAAGATTTTGTGGGGACAAGCGAGACTTTGTAGTGTGTATGTATGTAGGCATGTGAGTGTTATTTAAATCAGCTAGTTGCTATTGGTATAGTGTTGTGAAATGGAAAGAAGTGGAATGGAGTGAAACTTGTATATATATATGCCACAGCGGCTCGATGCCCTAAACTCCTTTAAAATTATGCACTCTCCTTTCAAACAAACAAACATCTCAGTCCAATGCCCAGAATTTGCCCCTTCCCACACACACACTTGCAAGATTGATGAAATTTTCCCCAACTTCCTCATGACAGGCGAAATCCAGAAGTGCAGATCTATTTATATCCATTGTTGCGAATGATAAGAACGACACAATGTCCTCTGTGCGATGGCAAAATGTCCTCCTGTGTGCGATGACACAATTTACAATGTCCTCCTCTGTGCGACGACACAATTTACAATGTCCTCCTCTGTGCGATGACACAATTTACAATGTCCTCCTCTGTGCGACGACACAATTTACAATGTCCTCCTCTGTGCGACGACACAATTTACAATGTCCTCCTCTGTGCGACGACACAATTTACAATGTCCTCCTCTGTGCGATGACACAATTTACAATGTCCTCATCTGTGCGACGACACAACGTCCTGCTGCGTGCGATATCACAATGTCCTCTGTACAATGTCACAATCACCGACCACTACAGGTGAGGCAGAAAGCTCGCTCCGTAGACTGCTCATAGCTGGAGAAAAAAAAGACATATATATAACTCACAATTCCTCTAATGACCTGTTCAAGACAGTCACCTGTACAAATGACCACTTCGTACCTCGCGTTATCATTATATCATGATTATGTCTGAGAGAACCACCTGTCACGGATAATAATAACTGATTTATATTTATATAGCGCTTATCCACGCTCTACAACAGCAGACTCTACATGCTATACGACCAATATTACCCCAGCAGACGCTAGAACACCCAGGAATATTCTCGACTTCCTGGAAAACATTCAGCGCAAGCTGTGGATTTCACGCTCAAAACACTAAAATAGAAAAAAACTTGACAAAATCTCTTTCGCAATCCATGGCCGGGCACCCATTCCCACCTGGGCGAAGTGAGGAAAATTTGTGTAAAGTGTCTTTCCCAAGGACACAACATTGGGTCCCTGACAGGATTCGAACCCACGACCGAACAGTTGTGACAGGGAGCCTAACCACTAGGCCACAAGATTGATGACTGAACAACGGGCGGTCACCTTGGGCAGGCTTGATTTTTTAAATATATGCACTTGGGGTACCTGTGACACTCAGATGTCAAGGGCGGGAAAAAACACTGTCCACGTAATACCCACCTAATATGTATATGAACCAACCTGAACCAACCTTACAATTACTGGGAAGAAACCATTCTTACATTTTAAAGAAACAAACTCTACACTTTCAGATCAAATCCCGACCAGAAGTCACAGATCGTTTTTGTCTCAACATCTTGTCCATAAAACCCATACCCACACACGAGAGAGAGAGAGAGAGAGAGAGAGAGAGAGAGAGAGAGAGAGAGAGAGAGAGAGAGAGAGAGAGAGAGAGGGGGGGAGGGAGTCAGAGAGAGAGAGAGAGAGAGAGAGACAGGGAGAGACAGAGAGAGAGACAGGGAGAGAGAGAGAGAGAGAGAGAGAGAGAGAGACAGGGAGAGAAAGAGAGAAAGACAGAGAGAGAGGAGAGAGAAAGAGAGAGAAGGACAACTTACTTCAACACAGAGCAAAGTTGACAAAAATGCTGCAGGCACCCTCTGCACTGACGCGAGCACGTGCCACAGACAAAATTCTCACAGAACTGGCACTTGAGAACATCTCGCGACTGGACGGGCCTTCGACAGTTGTGACAAGCTGGCAACATGAGAAAAAGAAACAACAATTAGATCTACTCGAAATATTGTAAATTCTAATATATGTTTGTAACTCCACTTTTAGCACAATTCTGAAGCAGAAACTGGAAGCACTGGCAACAAAAACAACATAAGAAAGCTTTTAGTTTTCGTAAGAGTTTTACGGCACTGGCAACACAATAACAAAAAAGCTAAAGCATTTAAACAAAATAGGCCACAAATCACAAAAAAATCAAGCAAATCCCTGGCACAAGCAAGTTCAACCAAGCACTGGTCTGAGCCTAGGACTAAAGACAGGGATAAATGAAATACGAAAAAGTGTATGCTTAGTTTTAGTAAGAGTTTTATAATGGCACTTGTGACACAATAAGATGTAAGCGTCGAAGATTAAAGGTGTAAGGTGTTACAAGAGAGTATACACACAAAAAAGAAGGAAGGGAGATAAGGACAGTACAGTAGATGTCTGATAGGAAAGAAGGAGCAAACTACACCAGAGCATCCGCCAGCCACCCATGAGTGTGCATGTGAGGTGTTTCTAGCACAAGGGAAGCGTGTGTGTATATATATATATATACATATAATTTTTTGAAGCCGTACATGGTGTGAGGGGCGAAAAAAACAACAACAAACAAATCAGATCAGTTTAGATAACGCCACTCTCCCAAAAATAAGATCCCAGCACATTCTTTGGTAGACTTTATTAGACTGAGAATCAATTTAAGGTTTGAGTGTGTATTAAAAACAGTCATCCATGACCATTCTTTCACTTTCTATGTTTTCAAATTCAAAATCAGTCTAAAAACAAAGCCATCTAGATCTAGATCTAATTTAAAAACAAAAAGGCGCGAAAGAAGACCTACATACTGGCAGAAAATTCTCAGTGTGCAGAGCCCCCCCCCCCTCCCCATCCTCTCTATATATATCGCGGCTTCAGTGCTTTCTTGTCGTATCTCCATTTTTTTATAACAGTGAAAACAATTCATATAAAAGAGTGAGCTTTAGAAGAAGTCACATTTTCACTGATTAAAAAAATGGAGATACGACAAGAAAGCGCTGAGGTCGCGATATATATATATATATGAGGTGCGCTGACAAAAAGAGCTACTTCTCGCAATCCAAGAATGGACATGATTGGTCAAAAATCGACTCTGAGGTCATATATATATGTATACATATTTAATTGATGTTATTTTGTTCAAGTCTACCGTGTCTTATATTCAGGGTCCCCACCAAATCCTGGAAAATTTTTTCAAGACCCCAATTCGAATGAAAAATCAGGCCGCTGCGTGTCAAGAATGCTCCCCAAAAAAGCCAATCTATCAAAGATAAAAAGTCAAAATGTCTATAAATGAATGCAAATGTACATTTTGTAGTATAGTCTTCAAACAATAGATGACTATAATACTGGGTGACTGCCAAACCAGCTTCTCAATTTTCCAAGGGAGGGGCCTAATCCATTTTCCAGGAACATGTTACGTAACAACGAAAGCGTGTGCTCCATTTATATCTAATATAATACATGTATGTTTGTGAATACACACACACACACACATGTAGGTACATTATATCCAGTCAACAACATGTCAGTGTGGCACTGGGATCTTGAGAGACTTTGGTATTTCAGTCTGTTCTTACTTATTTATATTTTCCCATCATCATATTAGCCAACATAAACTATAGGCCCTATATAAAAAAATGAATCCTGTTTTGAGCCTGAAAAAAGACCTAGAACTAGAAAATCGACTGTCAATAACCAGTCTGGGTGTCCTGATTCATATAATAAACGTGAAGACGAAAAACATTGCTGCAACTCAAAGTAGAGTAATAACTAGAATGGCTCAAATACACCTATTCAGTGTGAGTGGTGTAAGAACAGGGGGGGGGCGCAAGATGCAGTGACACTGAAAATCTGCCAATCTTGAACAGAAAGCTAATAAAATATAGATATAAATTACAATCACCCCATCCAATGAAAGGCGAACACTTTAGTTCAATAACAAGGCATGACGGATCCTGATTCCACACAAGGCCTGCACCAACGAGCGCTTTGCAGAGAGCTCTAAAGTAGTAATCAAAATGCTAAAAACTTGCTTCCAAGTTCAGTTTTTGTCCTCTAGTGTTGCCCTCAGCTCCCCCCCCCCCACCCCCCAATCCCCTTCCACGAGTGTATCTTATAAAGGAGTCCTATACTTCACAGCGCTCAGACCGCCGGTACTCACAGGTTCATTGACCGGTCACGAGGGCGAACCTGTCAAGACGCTTATAACTTCTTTTTCTTTTTTTTTTTTCCACAAGCGACAGCAAAAGACAATTTTTAATATTGATTATTTTCAAGGCGACACAGCGTTCATAATGCACAACCTGCATGTTACAAATGTTGCGTTTTCTATCAGACTATTACCGGAAAATTTCTGGGCGGTAACGAAAGCAGATCTTGATTCTTCCCGATCGAGCCTCGGTGTCACACATACACTTCCACCACAGCGGTTCAATTACGTTTCCTCTTTATGATTCATCAACCATACAGTCTAGATAGCTGCACATTACACAGGCCCTATCCTTTCCCGACTTACCGACCCATCACAAAATTCCCGACTTTTTCCCGATTTCCCGACCCTGTATATTATTCCACACTGACAAATTAAATTGTACAAACTCCACACCTATAGGTTGATGTATCAATTTCCACTCGGCTAAAAAGCGAGTAGTGACTCACTTTCTCAGCTCACCTCTACTCGATCAAAATAAAAGCACTACACGAGGCAACAAACAAAAAAGCATTCTAACCTGACACTGGTCTTTGTACTTTGTACCATCTCTGTAAATACCGTGCTACCAATAAAAATGTTCCAATTTCAGACCCACATATACATAGCCTATTATTGTTTGTGACAGTATCATTTCCCCTTTTTTTCTCTCTATTGCAACACAATCCGCTAATAATAGCAGACGAGACGAAAATTCCATATCCTGAGTCAGATCAGATCGCTACATTTTGTTTTTTGATATATAGATTCTTAGTGTATACATATATAGATACATGTATATAATAGTTTAATACATGTACTCATTTCCAACCACGAAACAGACCCCTCTAAAAAATACAAAAACTCTAAATGTCTTGCTCCAAACTATATTCCTAGAAGGAAGACCTACCTATCTATACTATGGCAACTTCCACAATTGAATCAATATCTCAACTGAATCAATATCTCCGAGTCTTTTTGACTCCGACTTTTACTGCAACACTCGTACTCGTACTATAAACAGGTCACATATATGCTGAATCTTAGAACATTTTCAACGTAGGGGCTTTTATAACCATAACCGCATCAACACAATTTTACGCAAAGATTAGAGGTGTTAATAGAGAGTAACATGCAAAGAAAAGAATTAGGAGAGATGGAGAAAATTGACGTTTGACAGGAAAAAGGAACAAAACCATACCTTGAACGTTCACCAACCACCCACAATTAACACCATATCCAGAACAAGAAAATTAAAAAAAATTATTATAAAGGTTTAAAAAGTTATACAACCTAATTAGGATGATACAATCAGAGAGCAATGAGAGATATTCAGAAAAAAAAATATGTGTAGAAATGACAGCCTTGTTCATATGTTGATAGGAAACTTTCTAAAGAGAATTGTTGGTGTTTGTTTGAGTGTGAATGCTCATAAATATTTAAGTCCTTAGGTCAGAACCCCCCTCTCCATAATTTCCACCCTCAAAATGTCAAGCATGAGTCAAATGAAGTTCAAAATGTTAGAGACAATAAGGGGACACTCAATCTGAAACCTGGCAAAGTAGAGTATAAGCCAGACACTACTCAATAAAAAGTCAAACTTTTCACACCAAGAGGCAAACAAGCCCTTTGAGCAAACACGATCACAACACAAGGCACTGTACACTCATGCCATGCTCACTTCAACTGTCAACGTGGCCACGTGTGAATCTAGAGCAAGGGTCTCAAACTGGCAGACCGCAGAATGATATTTTGTGGTTCCTACTTGACATCAAAGTGCCCTCAATCCGGCAAGCAAACCGACCCGACCCCCAATGGGCACCCCGTGTAATAGGTTAAAGCACACAGAACCAAAAAAAATTAATTTAAAACTCGTACTCAAAAGTATTCTTCACACAAAAGAGGCGGTATTTAAGCGCCTTTTGGAAGGAGAGGGGTGAAGAAAAAGGGGAAAAAAAGAAAGAAAACCCTCTTTGCATAGAACAATGTGTAGTATCAATTCAATGAAAGGTGATGACCATAGCAATAATATCCTATCCTTGAATCCTTGTATATTCTACCTAATGATTAACCCCCCCCCCCCATCTGTGCGGTTAAAAAAATATGTAGCACCACTGAGATCATTCACTCACAGACACTTGCATTTTTATAAATGAAAAAATGAGAAAACACTTTTCTCACCTCCCCCAAACCTGGCTTCTTCAGATGGTTTCTTCATCTGCGCCATCCTCATCCTTTGAAACACATTGGGCGCTGAGGTATTCACACTGGCACCGTTACTCGTAAACGTTTCACAAGCAGACGGCAGTGGAAGCTGCTGTGGGGGACTTAACTCCGCCGGCGTACGGCAAAAAGAAAATCCCGGTCGAGCCAGACTAAACTGTCCACATTCGTTAAATCTGTAACCCTGGGCCACAATGCCGGGAACAGAGGGTGGGGAAACGTTATCACTCTCCTCCTCTTCCATTTCTTCTTCATCAACGTTGACTAGTTCACAATTCTTCCCCAAGTGCATCTGCCTTAATGCCGTTGGCTCACTAGCCTTGAGGTGGTTGGGGAAATGGTTGAGCATCAAATTGTCATTGCCATCTAAAGGAGGCCGCTTGTCCTCAAGCCCGTGGTTCATCCCACCAAACAACAATTTCTGCGTTCTCTCTGTAACGAAAAACAGTAAACAAAATTTGTTGCCCATCCTCCTTCATTCAGGTCATACTGACCTTGAACACAAAACTATTTTAAAAATAGTATAGTTGAACCTGCTTCAACGACCACATGCCCAACACAATCACCTGTACAATCAACCACTTCTCACTTTCCCCCATGCATTTTCTCTTTATCATACTGACTGACCTGTCTAAAATTATCTTTTTTTTTTAATAGATGAGATTTAGTAAAAGTTTTACGGTGCTTGCAACACAATAAGGTCCAAAAAGTGCTGAAGATACAGGTGTTACAAGAGAGTAACAAACCAAAATACTGGGAGAGATAAGGACGATATGTTATGTTTGACAGGAAAGAAGGAGCAAACCACACCAGAGCATCCCCCAACCACCCGCTAAAATTACTATTTTTCTCCCCAACAAGAGAGTCGTCATCTTGGACAGTCTGGACAGGTCTGACTGTAAGATTGAGTACGTATTAACAATGTCAATTCTGACACCAAAATCAGATATCACTGCAAAAATAATGTTAAAAGAAAATTAAAGTAGACAGCTTGGGTCAGGGAAATATATATATATATATATATATATATATATATATATATATATATATCATGTCTTTTCGGGGATGCTATGATGCTTTGCTTATGGTGGGCTAGATATCTAACCCCCCCCCCCCCCCCCCCCCCGTCGTGTTCAAGAATCTGAGAGACATCAAATACGAATACGGGGATTGTGTCACCCAATGCCTCTGAAGGTGAGTTAGATACCAAAGACGACACTCCACACAAAATTAGTTTAGAATAATCAAAGGACAGAACCCGCACACCCAAGAGATGGAACGTGTCGTAGATTACTGTACAAACCAAAACACATGAAACACGAAGACCATGTTTTATCTCTGTAAACCTAAGAATAATGGTAAGATTGAGAAAAGAAATTGATTGAGTTAGAGAAAAGAGAAGCACACCCACACAAAAACAGTCACTTAGTACATATAAAAAAGTAAGAAAAAGAGAAACCCTCTAACTACACACTAAACAGAAATTTTGAAATAATTTTAAAGTTATATTGGATCTCAAAACAGACACTATATTATTGAGAAAAATTCAGGCTTTAAATGGCTAAAGAACTAAAATTCTTTTTTTAAAGTAAGTGAAAACACAAATAAAGAAAATATATTGGCACTATACTCAAAAGCAAAAGAAAGTGCAAAGTGGGTGGTTGGCGGGTGCTCTGGTGTGGTTTGCTTCTTCTTTCCTATCAAACATCTATTGTCCTTATATCTCCCCTTCTTTTTTGTTTGTTACTCTCTTGTAACACCTCTAATCTTCTGGTGCTCATATATGACCTTATGCAGTTGCGAGCGCCGTAAAACCTCTACTAAAAGTGCAAATGAAATCTTTGCACTCCAGTGGAATTGCAAAGTACAATATAGTCTTAAAGAGTAATAATATGTAAAATCAACTCAGCAACTACCAAATTTTAGGCACCTTTCATTGGACCATTATCACAAACATGACCCCGGAGAAGAGCTTTTCAAGAATGATTATAGATTAATGCATTAGGTTTTATTTCTAATTACACCGCCGCATTCACTCGATGTTATCAAAGTGAAAAAACCCCCTAGATCTACCATTGAAACAATTCTACTAGTAGGAGGTGAAAAGCACTACAGGCACAAGAAAACAAAAATGAACAAAAACCAAAAGCAACCTAAATGCATTACAAATATCTTCGAAAATAAATAATATTGTGACGTGCTACGTTTTACTTCCTCCAGGATTCCAGTGACAGAAAACAATGTGTGTATCATTGTGGCGAAATCAGGCTCTCATCAAAATGATATAAAGTCAAAGAAACTGACATTTTTCAGCTTGTGTTTGGGCAATTTTCATTTATTCATTTGGGGGGGGGGGGGGGGGGGGGGGGGGTGTCAACACTTTTCATGTATCCACTTAAAAGCACATTTCTGTGTGGATTATAAATACTGAAACCCGTTGATCAAAGGCACAAAAACTGTAAATTTGCAGTTTCTAGGGACACCTCTAAGCTTTGGAAGTCCCCAAACCTTGACTGCCATTTCGGATAAAAATTTCCTTGCACTAATTTTACCCCAGACACCAATCACCAGGCGACCCCCGCCTCTTTCTTAAGCAAACGTCTCTGCTTCAATTCAAGATAGATGTGTCATATTTTTTATATCAAAAGTAAGAATTGCACAAAGCTTTAAGATGATACCAATAACTCCATTGCCAAAAAATTGGAGAGAGCCTGAAAACAGTGACAAGATCATCATAATTAATATTGTTTTCCCAAAGAAACCAGAAACCTGCCTCTTCATATCAAACAGTTTTCTGCCTTTCAGTTTCCATTCTTCTCTCATGCAATTAAGCTAATAAAAATGACTACATCTATTGCATTGTAACTAAAATGCAACTCAAATGCAAGTTATCAAGGCCCCCGTTTAGTTTTCAAGTATCCTTCCCCCTCCCTTTCCGGTTCACAAAGCGGGGCCTCGTTTGTAGCGCCCGAGGCAAACGATTGCTGATGACGTCACTCAGTGGAATTTTCCCAGCCACAGGTCGTTCATCCAGCACGCGCAAATGGCAATGCCGCTTTCCCCTTAGTTACTCCCACATTTTTAAAGATTACGTTGCATAAACCGCTAAACACAGAAACGTGAAATTTTAAGGGAATAAAGAATTTTTTTTATTGGTGTACAACTTATCAGTCAGTTCGACAAATCGGTAAGATTGTGCTTTACTGGACCACCAGTCGGAGCTACTTTCGCTATGGCGCCCCTGGTGCCTAGTGGCCCGCTGTTCTTCCTTTCCGAGCTCCCCTTCTCACTTTTCTACGTCCTCACCCTTCGACAGCCCACAATCGACAGACGTCTCTTACCGGGTTTTTCAGTCATCACGACCATGCTATCATGCCCTTTGACCCACGACCCTGAGCCTTGAGGCTAATTGGTCAATCTAATCACGTGGTCCACTATTCTTATTTGCTCGCGACTCTGCTACTGCTAGGCTAGGCTAGGCCTACTCCTGGTCCAGCAAAGTACAATGGAGGGCGAGAGATGCGCACGAGCTCATTTGCATAATTGCAACCCTCTCGGCCCTGCTCGCGACTTGGCGAGGGCTGCGAAGCAAGGCTCGGCCTGTTCCATCTCTCTAATTAAATCTACCCTGATTGTCCGCTCATGTTATTGTTTGTTATATATGTGTGTGTTTTTGAATTATTGTTGCCAGGGGCTAGCCCTGAACCCCCCCCCCCCCTGTTGTTATATGTGAGGCAGCGTGGTGAGATCAGGCTCTCGTCAATTTTTGGACATGTGATTGTTTGTTATATATATATATGTGTGTGTTTTTGAATTATTGTTGCCAGGGGCTAGCCCCCTGAACCCCCCCCCCCCCTGTTGTTACATTGATATATATGTAAAAACGACTGTCTGCTCATATTATTGTTTCGCATTTGTGTGTTTTCTTTTTTATAGTTTCCAAGGGGGCAAGCCCCCCTGAACCCCCCCTCCCCACTGTGGGTATGATACACTTACACGGTGGTCCACCTAAGTTAAATCCCCTGCCCACCCTCAACCACCACTTCTCGCCAGTCGCCGCTGGCTTGCGCTGTGCGTGCGCGAAGTCGCCCGCGGAACTACCTTTTGTCAGCACGTAGAGAACTATGAGTGCGTAGTTAGGCTAGGGGTGCGTAGTAATCACGGGCCGAGATTGGTGGTCCGGTTAAGTCCAATCCAGCCACAAATCACAGCTCCGAAAAATCTTCAAAGCGCACGACATCAACCACTTTCGCAAACGTTTTCGACTGCTTCTTGGATGGGTACAAACATGTCAATCTGCATGCTACGGGATTGACCTCTTTTCTGATTGGCTGCCAAGTTTCATTCATATCCATTCACGAGAAGCGGCGTGAGAGCGAGTTGAAGACAACAACCTTTGCGTTAGTTTGTCCCACGAAACACCCCTGTGCGGGGGTCAAAAATTGGCAAAACAAAACGCGCTCGGTGGGCATTGCTGCATATTAATATTTTACTAGAATCTAGATCTAGATCTAATAGGCTAGTAATTGTAAGGCGACAAAAAATAAAATCAAACATTGAAAGGACGTCAGTCGTCATGGGCCAATCTGACATTCAGTCGGAAGTCTCAGGTGTTCATCATTATCATGGCAGAATATAAACAAACTTGTAAGAACCGTAGATGGTAAGGATGAGAATCTGCCCCAATTTTGATCTAAGGAACCCTGAAAATAAATGAGTCTGAAGTCTGAAGGGACACAAATCAGATGTCTTCGAGTCTTCTCGCGCTACTTTGTCTTCTAATACTAATAGATTAGTTATTCATGACCCCTTCTGAACAAGGAAGTGGCTATCCTCACCCGGGGTGAGAATAGAAATACGATCGACCTCTCACCCCGGGTGAGACTTGCCACCGTTGGCTATTCTCACCTGGTGTGAAACAAGACCTGTTTTTCCTAATTTTGGAATACTTTCTATCGGTGTGGATGATCAAATGGATAAAAGCAAAGAAAAAATTACGTGTAAATAGCACAAAAGTAAGTTAATTTGATCGTCTACAAAGATGCTATGGCTATTTCACTGTTCGAATCGAGCCGACCTACGCGGGTCGCCATTTTGTTTTGCCCGGAAGTTCTCGCAAGATCTACTCCTCCCCTCTTCTCTCTCTCAGTCTCTTTCTGAATACTGTCTATCGGTGTGGACGATCAAATTGACCAAAACAAAGTTAAAAAATGATGTTTAAACACAAAATAAATTAATTTGGTCGTCTACAAAGATGCTACGGCTATTTAACTTTTCGAATCGAGCCGAACTACGCGGGTCGCCATTTTGTTTTTCCCCGGAAGTTCTCCCGCTACTCCTCTCTCTCCACTGCCCAGACAAAATTGTACGCTTTTAGGCTAACAACAGTAATAATGGAACGTTTGTTCACGGCACAGAATTCTACAATTTTTCTGTTCTCACAGTGTAGAATTCTGTGAGAAGGACTTCCGTAACGAGCGACCACCCCATCAAACACAATATAAAGAAGAGGCCTAACCCTAACCCTCAATTCTGCTGTCTCATAGTGGTCGCTCGTTACGGAAGTCCTCCCATTCTGTGGTTCAAGGTGAACGCAAAATTGGTTGGCTAGAAATCTATTTCTAGGGCTATAACGGTGAATGCACACCGGGTGAGAATAGCCAAAAGACTCGCCTCTGTGCTATTCTCACCCGGGGTGAGAATAGTTCTAAAGGTGGCCTCTGAACAAATGGGCGACTAAAATGTTAAAAGATTCTAGATCTAGATAAAAAAGCCCTGGCAACTCACCATAGACAGACTGCATTCTAACTTGTTGATCAACTCCCTGGTCGACTTCCTTAGCCCGAACATGAGTCTTCAGCTGTAGAGACGAGTGGTCTCCGAATGGGTTCGGGCGTTTTGGCATACTTTCGCCTTTCGCTCTACTGGAGATGGACAGTAAACGTGAGACAAACAGTGACTAATCTAGATCTTGATCTAGATTAGATTCTAGATCTAGATTTACTCCAGTAGACCGTTGACTTGATAAGTCTCAATCAAAATGTCTCTCTCTCTCTAGATCTAGATCTGTACCCCTTTCATTGCACTCGGGTAAACAATCAATCAGACTCGGCAAAAAACTCAATCAACACTCGACTACAACAATAACAGAAGAGTCTCGCGCGAATTCTAAACCGGAAGTGACTTTGTAGAACTGACTTCCGCCGGTGTACAATTATGAAGGCTCC